CTCGTTGAGTTGTCCATCAGTCGGAAGTTTGATTCCTAAACTTCCTTCGATAATGTGCATGGTTTAGATCATCATTATCATGGTTTACATCATGATGATCATTTGTGGTCAAAAATGATAATATCATGCTGATCATGGTTTATTAGGGATGATCATCACCAAAAGCACCTTCAGAAATCCAGCAGGCCAACAAAATGCAGCACTGCATCAGTCTCACTCTGTCTCTGGAGACGAGGGGTGATCAGTGACACCATCCTGCAGACGACGCTGTAGGTCCTATTTATGGTGTTAAGGGTCAAAGGGTTAGGATGAAGAAATGGTTCAAAATGATTATAGTGATCATTATTTGTGAATAGCAAGCAGGTTTTGTGAATATTGATGAGATTTGATGAGTATCAATGATCACAAAATGGATTGAAGATCACCAATAACCAGTGATTGATGGGAAGCAGTGTCGTTTGATGATTGTCAATCACTCTTGATCATTACTGACAGTACATATCACATGAAGCAATGATGCTTGCGGATGTTTGATGGTTGTCAATGTTGTCAACGACTGATGTCGACCATTCCTAACAAACTACATGTTCGGTTTGGATGATAATCTGCAATAAGGTCGGGTTTTCTTCATGTCTCAGCAAGACAGCAACGCAAGTGGTCAAGTTCTGTTGCTGCTCAAAAGACATGCAACGGTTTTGAGTTTAAATAAGAGTGTACCCCAGTAAATAAGTTGGTGACGATGTGGGTATGACAATGACAGGCTAGATATGTTTGGATGGTTTCCACCCAAATTCATGAACACATCCGGGGTCCTTCGTCACTGTCATACCCACATGTGACATAAATGTGCTTGAGTAAATTATAAATACCAACTTTGAAATGGTACGGCAGCACCTCAAATCACGTTTTCCCCCCCCCCCCCCTTTGATCGAAAGCTAGTCATCCCGACGCGGCGTCATGACAGTAGGACATGAAGCGCCATGCAAACGAATGCTGTGTTTTAACAACACCGGGGAGTATTTCCTTGAGGTTGCAGAGTTTGTCGTGTTTTCAAGGAAATAATTGAGTACTTATTTACTGAGTCATGAAGGAAAGTCCCCCCACGCACAAAACTGTATTGAAAAATTGGAACCATTTCCGCTGTTCCATCCGGCGCCCAAGCGCAAAACGGCTGGCATCCCATTCCATTGATTCTATGCTTAGTCCCAGAAAGCCAAGGCCACGCGTTGGGCATTGGGGATTTGAGGTGGGTTCCCTCAGGACGCAACCGAGTCACCTCACTCTCAACTGTGTACAATCTGGACTTGGCACCGTAGGCTTCGTGCAGTCCAGCCATCATTGAACCCCTTTCCGGGCACATGCAGCACAGCCCACCAGGTGTCAGGGTTTGCAAGCGAGTCAGTCCAGATAAGACTTCCGGTACCGGCTTCGTCTGGGACTCTGACTTGAGGGATTGGGTGTGGCTGGAAATACGGGTGTTTCCACGTCCGGGCAAAAAAACAAACAAGTCCAGTCCTTTTTTATAAGTAAGAGTTTGGGGGCACACTGCCTGTGGAAACACCCATGTGGACGATCGGGAGAAGGCAAGCAAGTATTGCCTCACCCACTCATAAAGGGGGCTTGTCTCAGATGCGAGGGTGGTTTGGTCAATCATCCAGCTGTGACAGCTCAAAGATCGTCTGTATCCAGTTGAAAATAAATCGCTTTCTGAGACAGCTACATGTATGTAACTTTCTAAAGCTGTAAAGTTCACAGCCGGTTGAAGCTTCCACATCTCCAACAGATTGTCCCACTTTAAGCAAGTTTCCAGAGATTGTTCTGATGCTTTAGGGGATTCGGGGGCTGCCCCTCTTCTGCTTATGCCCAAAGCTCCTCCCAAAGTCACAGGTAGTATCTCAAAGTTGTGGAGATGTACCCTAGGCTCACCACATGCCTCTCTCGTTTCTAAACATTCTTAAGCATACAATCGAGGCAAACGCCCTGGGAGTAACCTGCAGAGGGTAGCTGTCGAAGGACCTTCTACGTGGATGATGGAGCTCAATCAAAGTTGCATTTTTTTATGGCAAATGATCTGGTGAGTATATCACACAATCCTCGAATTTCTTGGCTTGCCAGTTTCCCACATACTCAATCGTGGCACTGTGTCAACTTGTCGGATGTGCGCACGATAGGTCCACAACAAACCCATCATCTTTTCAACCAGATTGAGTCACTTATTCTTGGTATATATTGAGTACGTTTCAATACCTGCTGAATCTCCCAAATGGCCCCAAAATTGAGCACCAATGATGATTTCTCCCAAGTGGCTTGTACAACATGCAATGACTTGGATAGCTCCCTTCCGCAGCTCTCCCCAACGCTCTAAGGATTGGAGGGGTATTTATTTTAGGATTTTTTTTTTCGTTTTTTTTGGGATTTTTTTTTCGCTTCTTGGCTTCTTGGCTTCTTGGCTTCTTGGCTTCTTGGCTTCTTGGCTTCTTGGCTTCTTGGCTTCTTGGCTTCTTGGCTTCTTGGCTTCTCGGCTTCTTGGCTTCTTGGCTTTTCGGCTTCTTGGCTTCTTGGCTTCTCGGCTTCTCGGCTTCTGGGCTTCTGGGCTTCTTGGCTTCTTGGCTTCTTGGCTTCTTGGCTTCTTGGCTTTTCGGCTTTTCGGCTTCTTGGCTTCTCGGCTTCTGGGCTTCTAGGCTTTTCGGCTTTTTGCTGGTTTATGCGGCTTTTGGTGGCTTTTTGGCTTTTCGCATCCTCTGCATTCCCAGTTCCTCTTCGGCAGGTGGCGTTTTTCCGACATCATGGGGGGGGCTGCCGCCCCCCCCAACCCCCCCGCTACGTTTTAGATTTTCTGCAGAGATTTAATTAGTTGCACCCCTAGTTGAATCATCAATTCTTCGAACATCATGGGGGGGTTGCACCCCTAGTTGAATCATCAATTCTTGAACCATCATGGGGGGGGCTGCCGCCCCCCCCAACCCCCCCGCTACTTTTTAGACTTTTTGCAGAGATTTAATTGCACCCCTATTCAAATCATCACTTCTGGGATTGACATGCCCTCCTACTTGAATCATCATTTCTTTGACCCCGTCACACGATTTGTGGGTGATGCTAGGGATGTTGGTGGGACATGCGGGGTATATTTCGCGAGAACATGCTGTAAAATACGACACTTTACTGGCCCGGCAGAGATTGAATTGCACCCCTGTTTGAATCATCACTTTTTCGAGCATCCAATTTCGCGAGAAAATGCTGCAAAATACGACATTTTAGGTAATCTGTGTAGTCCGTGTATGTCTGTATGTATGCATTTCTTCGAACATCATAGGGGAAGCCACCCCCGCCAACCCTCCCGCTGCCTTGTAAATTCTATCACACCCTTTCTTGAATCATTGCACCCCTACTTGAATCACCACTTCTTCCGACCTCATGGGGGGGCTGCCGCCCCCCCCCAACCCCCCCCGCTACGTTTAGATTTTCGACAGAGATTTAATTAATTGCACCCCTAGTTGAATCATCAATTCTTCGAACATCATGGGGGGGTTGCACCCCTAGTTGAATCATCAATTCTTGAACCATCATGGGGGGGGCTGCCGCCCCCCCCAACCCCCCCGCTACTTTTTAGACTTTTTGCAGAGATTTAATTGCACCCCTATTCAAATCATCACTTCTGGGATTGACATGCCCTCCTACTTGAATCATCATTTCTTTGACCCCGTCACACGATTTGTGGGTGATGCTAGGGATGTTGGTGGGACATGCGAGGTATATTTCGCGAGAACTTGCTGTAAAATACGACACTTTACTGGCCCGGCAGAGATTGAATTGCACCCCTGTTTGAATCATCACTTTTTCGAGCATCCAATTTCGCGAGAAAATGCTGCAAAATACGACATTTTAGGTAATCTGTGTAGTCCGTGTATGTCTGTATGTATGCATTTCTTCGAACATCATAGGGGAAGCCACCCCCGCCAACCCTCCCGCTGCCTTTTAAATTCTATCACACCCTTTCTTGAATCATTGCACCCCTACTTGAATCACCACTTCTTCCGACATCATGGGGGGGCTGCCGCCCCCCCCCAACCCCCCCGCTACGTTTTAGATTTTCTACAGAGATTTAATTAATTGCACCCCTAGTTGAATCATCAATTCTTCCAACCCCCCCGCTACTTTTTAGACTTTTTGCAGAGATTTAATTGCACCCCTGTTCGAATCATCACTACCCCGCTCTGTTTTTCTTAATTGTTTTTTTGTATTTTTTTGCTGGGATTGAAATGCCCTCCTGTTTGAAGCATCATTGTTTTGACCCCGTCAACCCGCCAGCTACATTTTTGGATTTTGTTACCCACGATTTGTTGGTGATGCTAGGGATGTTGGTCGGACATGCGGGGGATGTTGAAAACGATGCTGGGGATGTTGACGAGCTAGTGTAAAATGCGTCAATTTCGCGAGAAAATGCAGTAAAATACGACATTTTGCTGGCCCGGACGAAAACCGAAAAAAAAAAAAAAAAAAAAAAAAAAAAAAAACCAAAACACAACGAAAAAAATTCCCAAAATAAATCCGCACCCCTAAGGATTTCGGCACGCATGCCGCACGGCGCGGCGACTCACGACACCATTCGCGTGTCTCTGTCGCGCCAAAAATGAGGTGCCCGGCCTGGCGCTTAGCCGCGTGCGGATCAAAAGAAAAGGGCGTATTTTAATTTGGAATTACAATTCAAGAAATACGTGTAAATCAGTACAAGGTAAGTATGCAAAGATAATTTGATATTGGGGTGGTGTTGGGAGCTTGGGTCCTAGACTAATTACCCCTCATAAGGCTGGGCCTGGTCTGGGCGGAGACATCGGAAAGTTTAGTATTGGTTTTGAATTGGCGTATTCCACACACCGGCTGTTTTAGCCAATCTGGAAAAATAGTATTTATGAATTAATAGGGTGCGTTTATTAAAAGGGGGAGCGCATCATCGATCCTACCTCATGTTGGAAGCGGAATTGTCCGAAGAAAATGCCCAGACGGCGCGGTCCGAAGAGAAGCGGAACGGCAAGCAGCCGCGCCCCGCCGGAGCTCTGGCAGGGTTCCAGTTTTTGGACTAGCCTTGTTCTGGGAGATTTAAAATGGACTTTCAGAAGCGGCGTGGTGGGGAATCACATGCGAACTCATGTAAACTTTGACGGGGCGGGGGGGGGGCGGGCGCTAGTCAACCCGAAAACCCACACCTTAGACAGGAACCCTTGCAGAAAGACAATTGCTTCAGGGCGAGGATCTCAGCATCGCTTCGACGCACTTTTCCTTAGGAGGGCTGAATGCCAGCGTTCGTCGAGGGTTCCCTTGAATCCTGCTTCTTTTCTTCACTTTCTTCACTGCCTCACTTTGTGAACTTCTTACAGTTTTTTTTGGGGCTGTTCTGGGAAGAAACCAAGAGCTCAGATATGTTCATTTTATTGGAACCGCAGGTATCACAGTGCGAAAACCTTTCCCAAGGGTGATTCCCGCGATCTCTAAGGCCCAAGACACATGGTTCTGGACAACAGGGCCAACGGGGCCCCATTCTTCAGCAGAACATGTGGATTTTACAGCCACTTGGCTGCCGTGCTTTGAGACATTCCAAGGCCCAGTCCTTCCGCACCTCCGAGGGCTTCAGCACCTTCTCCAAGGCACCACACGGCTACCCAGCCTCCAGGAATTTTCCTCCAAAAGGCGGTCGGGGTCCTCTTGGTTTCCCTTTCAATCCATTCGAAACAGAGTTCCCGCAAAGAAGGCGCACCCACATTTTGTTTGGGGTTGGCGAATCTAGAAGCCGGCATCTTGGCGGCCACTGGGTTGGATCTAGCTGCATTTCTTTTTGGTTGATGTGCCAAGGGTTGGTGGGGACAAACTTCCACGTAAACAGGGTCAATTGTGTTTGTCAAGGCATGACCCCAGGTTCTTGGGTGTAGATGTCAGCCTAACCTTCAAAACGCCAATCCAAACCAAATTGTAATTAGTGTCGGTCCGCTATTTTGATGATCCCGAATGACGTCTTTTTGCAGCAAGGTCCCCCCCCCCTTACCCTTCGCATTCATGGGTCGGCAGCATTGGGTTCCCATGTTTGGGCCGCGGAAGGCTGCGGGAGATGGAAAGGGCAGTGAAACATCAGCCTTCGATCATAGGTTTCCTTTTGGTCGGTTAGATCTATTTTTCCGAAAGGACACCTCTGCATTTGATTGTTCGGTAGAGCAGCTAATCTTGTCAATTATGTGAGGGCTGACGTGGAAAGCAGGTGATTTCTGGACCATTTCCCAGGCTTCTCGAAAAAGTGCGGCAGGGACAAAGGGAGCCATCCACCTCGTGCCTTTAATTTTCAGGCACACCTTCCCTGATTCGCATGTAAGCCAACATCGATAGATAGATGGATAGATAGATAGATAGATAGATAGACAGAACATCTTAAAGCAGATAGGTAGATAGATAGACAAAAATATGTACATATAGAGAATTACATTCCGCGGATAAGCAGGAAAGAAGGGCAGAACAAATGGACGAAAGCAAGAAAGGAAAAATAAAGAAAGAGAGAAAGAAGGAAGGAAGAAAGGAAGGAGGAAGAAAGGAAGGAAGAACGACCGAAAAGCAAAGAAAGATAAAGAATGAAAGAAGAGGAAGGCAGAAAGAAAGAAATCAATATGGAAAGAAGGAAAGAAGGAACGAAGGAAAGACATGAAAGACATGAAAGACATGAAAGACATGAAAGACATGAAAGACATGAAAGACATGCAAGACATGAAAGACATGAAAGAAGCAAAACAAGAAATGCAACATGAAGGATGACAAACAGCAAGAAGAGAAAAATAACGAAAAGAAAGAGAACTAGATCTGAAGTTCTTATACTCTACTTGTATGGTACGTTCATCAATCATGGGGAGTTTTTTCGTTGGCATGTGCCCTGTCACCTCTAAACCTTGGCTACATGAGTCAAAGGGCAATTCTATGTTGCCATATGAGCCTGGACCGATATGCACGCGGGAGGGCGTTTGCTGCCATGCGGGCACTGAGGAGGCTGAAACCACTGAGGGGTTCATAGGGCCGGGGGGCCGCACCTGTCTAAATTTTGAGAGTTGCAGCATCTTTGGGAAAGAACTCTGCCATAAAGTGGGGTTCATATGCAAACTTATGGCTTGGTTTTTTTTTTATTCTTTTGGGCCGGCGGGAACCCGCAACCCCTGGCCATGGCAGGCACTTGCTTGAGGGACCAACCATGAACCAAATCTTGGCACATGATAACCAGCTTAGTTTGGGAGAGTCACTCGGGGTCTAAACATGAGGATGCCAAAATAGGTTTGACCTTTAAATTAGGGGTATGTGTCTCGGAGCGATTTGGGGGCTGAATGACCCATATCGTTTGCGTTGGATGCTCAGGTCCTTGGCATTGAGGCGCCTCAGTTTATCTGATTTTCTAGCATTTCATTTTGATACGTGGGACATTTCCAGGAGGAGTGACGTCGAATCCCGTTGAAAGTAAACAGCTAGCAAGACCGAGGAGTCCAACTACGGCAAGATGCTGCGCTTTCTGAGGGAGGTATCCCTCTTCGGAGCCTGGGGCTTGGATCCCAAAAAGGGTGTGTGTGTGTGTGTGTGTTTCTTTTTGACACTGCTTTAGAGGAAAGCCATATGGAGAGCCATGAGACATTGGCATACATTGGCCAAAAGCGTGGCATTGACATCTGGTATGTCAATTCGTATTCTTCTGGCGCGTTGGATTGGTTCTTGATTTTTGACGACTCCAGCTCAGCAGCCGGCCCGTTTGCAGGGGGTTAATGTTGCATTCGAATTTCCAAGTCAACTCAAGTGTCAGCGACTTGTCCGATTGATTGTGTAGCTTGAAGCAGAAGCTTGGGAGCGTTGCCCTTCTAGCCTTTCTTCCCTGCGTTTAGTTGCTACATGATTTTGAGTAGGCCGACAAACCGCGCAAATACATGAGTTTCCCATTTGTTCGATGGTGGCACATACGGGCAAGATTGTGGAGAATGAGCGCATTGAGGTAACTACAATGGTTGCTTTCGGGGGAGGTGGGGTCCTGCGCTTGGGGGGCTGATGGTTTTCGCAGATGGCAGCGGGCCATGCGCCGAAAGCCAGGAACTGGCATTGCAGAACACCGAGCCGTGCGGGGCCTCACCGTCTGTTCTTCTGGGCCTGGAGCGGCGGGAGCGTTTTTTGACATGTCGAAGCAAGGGGGTGGCCCTGCGCCACATTCCTCAGTTTTTGACGCATGTCATCCCCTTTGTTTTTCTGTGCAAAGGGAAGTGTGACATCTAGTTTCCCAGGTGTAGCACGTGACCACTCATGTGGAACGGGGGGTTATTTGATGCGGGCTGTGAAGAATCCCTCAGGCGTAGCGCCAGCATCGTGCCCCAAGCTCAGTGCCTGCCAAAAGCCGCAGCTGGTCCGTCAGTCGAGGAAAGAGCCTCGTGCCCTACGCTGGGGTAAGCCTCAACCTCCAGAGTTTTTCTTCCTGACAGCTGAAAAATGTGCGTCCCCGCAGTCTTTGCCCAAATAATCTCCGGAGTGACCCGGGACAGCTGCAAGGGTTCCGCAGGGTTTCAAAGGGGGTTGTTGGGGATATCGACTGGGCTATTTTCTCTCACAGGGCATCCGAAGGGAGCATTCCAAGGTGCTCGCAGGACAGCGAGTTCTTGCGTCTGCGGAAGGAGGACAGTTTTGGTTGGCAGAAGGTTTTTTTTCCTTGGAAGGACTTGGACAAAGAGATTGCGCAAATTCCAGGGCTTGCAACAGAACCCTCCCCTTTTGCAAGGGAAAGTGCTTTTCGAAGGGTCGGAGTTGCACTTGGCTCGTTGGTTCACCAAACCAGCTAACCAGGCACAACTGACCCAGGCATAATTCCTTGACCAAGAAAGCTACTAACTAACACACTGCGAACTCCCAATCATAGCAAGCTGTGGGTTGTTGGTTCAGGTGGGTCGACTCAAGCCAAAGGAGGGGTCTGATTGGCCGTGACTGTGTGGACTGCGTTTGTTTCGAGGCTCTCTCTAACATCTCTCAATCATGGAAGCCCCCAGGCCTTCGGAAAGGCCGGAGGGACCGGAGGGAGCCAGGCCAAGGGCCAACCGGACGTAGGTGGGTTTCCAGGAGCGTCGATGCTGTATGCACTGTATGCATTCTGAACCTCCCAGGTGGCGCAGCACGTGTTGCGCTTTTCGAGCGTGGCTCGCATTTTGAAATTGGACTCATTTGCCACTCTTCAACGGATGGCTGGCCTCGGCCGGCCAACAAAAACGTGTTCTTCATAGCCCAATTGGACCGGTGGTGGCTTCCCCAGTGTCCCTCCCGTCCAGATGCACTTAGTGTCAGGACTTCCTTGCAGCGATCCAAGGGAGGAAGCAGAAGGCGATCCGGAAATCCATCGTTGGACTGGCCCGAGTCTTTTCGGCGGCATCTATCCCCCAATTCGGAATGGTTCTGGATCTGAACCCGATTGCTCCGAAAGGGCCAAGCCACCAGGGTAAAGAATTCATTTGTACCAGTACCCCGCAACAACTGATGTCCAAAATCCCATGTTGGGTCCTTTGTTTCTTTCCAGGGGCCTACATGACATTGGAGCAACCCTGGTCACACCTGTGATAGATCTACTTCTTCGATGAGCACATCGAGGCTTTGAAGGACTTTGCGGACAAGAAAGCACAAGGCGCTTGCAGTGTGCACCATTGACCTTGTTGTCGGTCTCCCTGTGTTCCAGCCTGGCAAAGGCCATTGCAGGTCGCCACTTCGGATGTGAAGGATGTGATTGTACACCCTCGGAGGGTACACGAGTTCGGCTGCTTTAGCCCCACCTATGCCCTCTTTGGAGCGTTAGGGCCATTAGGGCCCCGCGAGTTCGTCTTGTCTAGGAACCGCTCAAATCGGCTTTCGGTGGCCAGTTGTACGTCAACTTCCTTTTGTGCCTTGCTATGGGGAGGTCTTTCGGTCAGCTGGAAGTTTATCTAGTGCGCCAAGCGTTGGCCCCTCCAAATCCAATCTTTGCCGATTTTTCGGGCCCAGCTCCTTAGAGGACTAGGCTTCCTGTGCAGGTAGGAGGATGTCTTCCACCCCCCGTCAAGTGAAGAACATGTCTGTTTGGAGGAATCTCCTTTTGGGGTTGCATTTAAATTTGCAGCAAGCATTGGCCGGAGGCAAGCCAGCCTATTCTTGGGCCAAACCTTGCTATTTCCACAGCCCCGCCAGGTGCCTTGCTGCAGCATCCGTCCAGGGCTTGGTTGGAATCGAGGCCATTTTTTTTGGTGGCGAAGGGGAGAGGATCAACCGCCTTATCCAAGAGGATCTTTTTGAGGACCAAATGCCTGGTTTTGAGAAACTTTCGGGCAGCATCATGAGCCTCAAACAAAGGAAGCAATGATTCGCACAAATCAGATCCCGGCTGGGGGAGCAACATTGGCTGTCCCAGTACCGATGCGCGTTCCATTGCTCTCATCCGTTCCCACCTGTCCAGGCGCCCCGCGGCTTTCGTGGGTTGCATGAGTAAACGACTGTGAATGGACGAAATCCTGCAGATTTGTTCTGTGAAATACCCATCCTTTCAAAGTGGTGCAGGATTTCGTCCATCCACAGCTGTTTGGTCAGTTGGTCATTTTCCCTCATGGTGGCTCCTACCTCCTCTGCTTCCTCCTGCAGCACCTGCAACTCAAGCCAACACAGCACGAAATCCACTCGACTGGAAATCCAAGTTGCTCGCCTCCAGCAAAGCTTGCAGAAAGGGTAGCTTGGCAGAATCAAAGTTTTCTAGGGAGCACATTCTCTCCCACAAAAAGTAGCGTGTAAATCGATCATGAAGTGTACCTTCATTTTCAGCCAGGAAGGGTGTCAAAAGGCAATCCCTGCTTTAGTCCATGTTTGCCGCTTCGGATCTGCGTCAGATGGCTGCATTTTTGTCGCAAAGAGGGGTCCTGTCCCCAAAAGGGGGTTCCCCAACACATGGACAGTTTTGTTGGTCCCATGTTGTTTTTCAGCGGTGTTACCCGTTGCCACATGCCAGGTTTCTTACAAGCTAACAATAACTTCTCCGCTTGTGTTTTTTGCAACTGGCAACCCGACTTTCGCTGGCTGAGCTCTAACGGGAGCTCCCAAGACAGGATCCGTGTTCTGGGAATATGTACAAAGTTTGGGCAGCTGCTTTGCGGCTTCAGCCCTGGAACCTTTCAGTAGCGCCGGACCCTGGAGGGGGTTTATGGCAATGCCGGAGGGTACCAACGTTGAACCAAAGCAAAGGGAGAAACCCTCGTTGCCTCGTTCCTTGGTTGCAAAGTTTGGTCCCGGCCGGATGGAGAAAACTCACGCACAAGTCAATCAAGTGTTTCAAAGGCAGCAAAAGGGACATCCCAAGGCACAAAAGGGCATTCCCAGTTTTTTCAGACAACTTGTTCGCAGACAGGCTCAAGAAAGGCTCAGGTGCTGGCTCAAACGGTTGAGGTCGCTTCTTTTCACGGATGAGATCTACCGTGATGGCCGCCGACTAGGAGGGCATGTGTTCTGCATTGTGTTTCACTTGGTGGTATGGAGGCTATTTTTTTAGATGAAAAAGGGAACGCAAACAGGCCACGCCATTTGTGCAGGAAGCTCGTTTTGGTGGTATTGGGCTTCATGTGCATGTTTCACTGGTGAGCGGGCCACTGACACAATTGCTCAATGCAACCCAACCGCAAATGGGGGGTAGTTTTCTTCAAGCCATACCTCTCAAACCCATACCTAAGAGGTTCCTCACCCAAACTAAAGACTGAGAGAGCTGGGGTTGGTGATCATTTGGGTTCACTCATTCATGAAAATGAGGCCTGACCCGATGAGTGCCGGATGGATAGAGATGCTAGATGCACATCCGAGAAAGTTCTGGGGTGGTTCCAACAGCGGCAACCCAACGGCAGTGGTCGGCTTTGCCAGTGCTTGGTTTTGGCATCCTGGGAAATGGGGAGATGTCACATTTTGCGTGAGGTTCAGGGTTCCATCACCCTTGAGTTTAAGTCTACCTTAACAGTGTCCCCTTTCCAACAACCATGATAATTGATCATGGACCGAGGGCTTTGGAGGGCTACCATCATCTTAAGGAAGCCGCCCTATCCCCTATCTATCCCTATCCCCTATCCACTTCCATATTTGTTGGAAAGAGGGAGGCTTCCTTTTGTTTTCCTTAGAACAACCCCCAAGAAAGGTGACCTCGAGAAAGATCCAACAATAAGAAGCCCACAAATAACCCGACGATGACAACGTCAAACACGGACGCCTGCTCGGGAAGTATTTGCAATGAGTCTCAGGTCAGCCCATCACCACGGAGGGCGTCTATGCCAACACCAAGGTGTACCTTGTGGGTGCCGGAAACCTCATGGGAATGTGTAGCGTGTGACCGGGTACATCCGGGATGGCTATAAATTTGGGCAGCCGCTGTGCGGGTTCCTATGCAAGTCTGACCATAACCTGTGCAAGGGCTCTGGGGCCACGAGGATGTGCCTGTGTCACTACCAGGGAATGGGCAAGACTGAGAGTGCGGAGATTGCGTTTAGCTTTCGGAGTTTTGGAACGCCATCCAGAGTCGATTGCACAATTCCAGGCCGCTACCCCCAAAGATCAAGGGAACATAAACACTCTAAACAAGCTTCCATTCTTAATCCCCTCGCATGTCGGAAGGACACCTCTGATAGGATGCAGGCCACACTTGAAATTGCTATCACCAGAGCTTAGCCAAACTGTTCCATGGGTTCTTTGCTTTGCGCTTATCCTGAGCTGTAGTCCATGGATCGTTCCAAGGGTGCCTGAACACAAGGCTCCCATTCTCACCATCCTGACAGAATCTGCCCCGTATAGCCACTTAGCAAGGGGGGTTGTCTGTGCAGGTGAAGTAGAACCCTCTACCGTCGGCCACCGCCTTGCCTCCGCTGCCCTATCTTACTTGGGCTGATCCTTTCTTTTTTTTTTTCTTTTCTGTTATCCGCCTCCGGAGAAAACATTCTGCGCCGCACGAGCATCCGTTTTTGGACCGCCCCTGCAACTCCCAAGGCGGGTGGATGAAAGGTTTGTTTCTGACTTGTTCAAGGCCAACCATGTCAAGTTATTTTGAGCTTTCGTTTTCAAGGACCCCCAAAGGTTTCGAGCTCGTACGACTTCCGATTTCGGGACGCGCCAGTTCTTAGGCCGGTGCGAAGGTGGACCTATTCCGGTACAAAGAGCCCTGCCCGGGGGTCCAAGGGAGTTTACCAGTGCTTTTGCAGGGACACCAACAGAAAACCACCAGTGTGGGGCCCGGAGACAGGCGCACTTTGTCACTTTGTTTCTGGGAAGGGTGTCCCTTTGAGACCAGCTCAGATCAACCAGAAAAAAGGGCACCCCCTTTTTCCACCAAATCCGCTGGGCTGAGACTTGGAGGCCAGCAGAATTCTTCAGTCAGGTTACAGGAGGTCAGTTGGGTAGGTTTCGGAGCTGGGCGACCGTGCGCGCATGCATGTTCACTTCGGTTTCATGACAAAGGACCACATTTTTCCAAAAGCAGCACTAACGCATCTGGCAGCGCCCTGTCTGGACATTGGGGCTGTTTGTGAGAGGGGTCATATGTATCCGAGTCCCCTCACTCAGGATACTCCAGAGGTCTAATTTCTTTTGCGTCCGGCATTGCAGTGGCTCTTGGCAGAGTTTTTTTTTTTCTCAAATGTGGGCGCAACGTTTCAAATGGCGCCCTCTTTCCGAGTGGGTGGCTCGTCTTTTTTGGAGGTGGCACCTGTCAACCGAGGAGGGGGGGGTTCAGGGAAACCAAACGGAAAGCCACAAATTTGCCGGGGGGGGGGGTTCCCTGAAAAAGACATACCCAGTCGTGGGAGTATGGGGTATGGGAGTGGGTGTGATGTGTCCAGAAACCGTCGCCATAGATCTCACCGACTCACTTTCTGGGCCGCGCGGAGATGGAGGGCAGAATGCATCTCCTTCCCCTGCCCATGTTTGGAAACACACGGAACCTCATTCTATTTTCATTGGACCTTCTCCGATGCTCCTAGGTGCGAGCCCGGCCTACTTCCTTGCACGCCGTCCGCGGAGCGCGCCTGGGCAGCTAGCCCCCCACCCCCAAACCGCAACGCATGAAGATGGAGGGGGCCGAAGGCAAACCAGGCCTCATGTGAGGACGCCTGTTTGGGTCTGTCTTTTTTGAAGTTGGTGCCCGTTTTCGGGGGTTGTTAAAATAGGTAAAGCAGCAGGAAAACCATCAATTTGGAGGGTCCCCTCAAAAGAAGACAGCCCCATTTGGAGAGACGCCCTTGTTTGTCAACCATTTGTTTGGGTCACTGGAACACGCCGATTTGCATATTGTGGATGAGCTTCTCCCTTTAAGGAAGCACAGCCTTCTTCGGGGCACTTGCATGGCAACAGCAACCGGGAAATTCCAGAAACAGTTTCTTTGGGCTTTGGGTCCGGCAAAGTCGGCCAAGGTGGTAGTTGAGGTAGTTGAAGATTGGGCCTTGGAAACTTGGGTGGCTTTTTGCGGCGGAAAGGTAGCTCTTGGGAAAGGGGAGTGGTCATGATCGGGCGATGTTCTAAGCTTCGGGTGGTACGTGAAGCACATCTAAAACGACTCCACCGAAAAGGCAACGGCTTGCGCAAAAGAGCATTTGTTCTGGCCTAACCGAGGCGCCCAAGAAGAGCAAGGCAAGCGCTTGCCTTCCGCTCGCATCGGATTTCGTGGGTTCTCAGGGACCCTTCGTGGACGATGCGGGAGGAAGCCACTTGTTAATGGAGGGCCATTTTTTAAAGGTTTTTTTTGTTTTTCAGGGTGGGTGGCTTTTCGGCTTTTTGGCTTTTGTGGCTTTTACGTGGGTTTTGGTGGCTTTTGTGGCTTTTCATTTCGCATCCTCTGCATTCACAGTTCCTCTCTTTTTGCATCCTCTACGTTGCCAGTTCCGCTGCGGCAGGTGGCTTTTTGGCTTTGTGGCTTTTGGCGGCTTTCTGGCTTTGGGTTTTCGCATCCTCCGCTTTCCCAGTTGGTTTTTGGCCTTGGCTTCCTGCATCCTCAGCATCGCGACGATTAAAATACACGCCTAATTGAATCATCACTTTTTCGATCATCATGCAACAGCTACTTTTTAGATTCTTTGCCCCTAATTGTTCGATCATCAGCTGGGGGGCTGCCGCCCCCCCCCCCTCAACCCCCCCGCTGTTTTTTTAAATATATATATATATATATCTTTTGGCCCTACTTTTTCAACCCCCGCTATTTTTTAGACTTTTTTCCCTAATTGAATCATCACTTTTTCGATCATCATGGGGGGGCTGCCCCCCCCCCAACCCCCCCGCGCCTTTAATTGAATCATCACCTTTTCAATCATCATGGGGGGCTGGCTTCATGCAGCCTCAGCATCGCAAGTTCCTGTCTGGTGCCCCCCGCCACCCCCCTTTCGATTAAAATGCACGCCTAATTGAATCATCATTTTTCGATCATCATGCGACAGCTACTTTTTAGATTCTTTGCCCCTAATTTTTCGATCCACTTTTTCAATCATCATGGAGGGGCGGCAGCCCCGCCATTTTTTAGACTTTTTGCCCCTAGTTGAATCATCACTTTTCGATCATCATGGGGGGGCAGCCCCCCCCCCGCGCCTGTACTTGAATCATCACTTTTTCAATCATCATGGGCGGGGCTGCTGCCCCCCCCCCCAACCCCCCGGCTGCTTTTTGGATTTTTTTGCACCTAATTGAATCATGACTTTTTTGATCACCATGAGGGCTGCCGCCCCCCCCCCCCCACCCCCCGCGACTTTTTTTTGATTTTAGCGAGATTAGAATGCACCCCTAATGGAATCATCAGTTCTTCAATCATCATGGGGGGGGCTGCCGCCCCCCCAACACCCCCGCTACGTTTTAGGTGTTTTACAGGGACTAGTTGCCCGAATTTGAACCCTCACTTTTACCACGAGGCCTTGCCGTAGAGGAACTGATGATGCTGAAGATGCCCCGATTTGCTGGTGATGCTGGGGATGTTGGCTGGACATGTGGGGGATGTTGAAAACGATGCTGATGATGTTGACAGACTAGCGTTAAATACGTACATTTCGCGAGAAAATGCTGTAAATTACAACCGTTTAGTAGCCAGGGCGGAAAACAAAAAGTCCAAAATAAAACAAAAATCCCAAATTAAATCCCGGCCCCTTGTTAATGTGACACGGGGCAGCTCCTGCGCAGGGCCCGTGCTTGCGGATGCTTCCTGACAACCTGGAGCCATGCCCCGCAGAAGAGGCCCGAGACGGGCTTCGGAAGGGCAGCTTTCCACTTCGCGGATTTTCAGTTTCTCTTGGTTCGCCTTGACAGTCGGACTGGCGCGTTTCAAACATTATGCTTGGCAGGCTGGGATGCTCTTTCAAAAAGCGGGTTGCAACCAAGCTCATCAAAGGGAATCTTTTTCAGGTCCACCTGAAATGGCTCTTGATTCCTTATACAATATATATACATATATATATATATTTATGTGTCTCTGTATGCGTTTGCAAGTTAAACGACCAGGAGCACCTTGCTTGCGTCAGCCTCAGCCCAGCTGGACACTGACCGCCATGCCATCTTGCAAGACGGGGAGTGCACTGTGCTTGCACTTCTGGACATCTACCGGGACTGTGCAGCTGTCCGCATGAAGGCTCAGACCAAGCCTGCGACTGCAGATGAGATGGGCGGCTCTCAGTGCAGGTTTTCGACCGCGGCTTGGGGTGAAACATCGTTGCATACGCGAATGGGTACGGCCGGGTCGTGCACCAAGCCTGGCAGTGCGACAGTATCGTGGTTGCAGCGGTACCTATGGCCTGTGAGCGGAGAGTGATACATGACAAATAAGCGTGCAGGCAAGGTATAGAAACTTCCAGCTTGGTTAGAGCTACGCGCAAGCGCAGGACTTGAAACCAATTTAAACAAGGTTGCCGCGCACAAGCCAGCCCCTTGATTAGGACTAAATGTCCGAGTGTGCGCATAGACCAGAGGGGATGTTTTGCTTATGTCGGGTGAGTTGATTGGTTTGTGACAGCGACGAATTTACCCAGCTGGATTCCTGAGCAAAGCCAAGGAACACCCGCAAAACGCTCAGCCGGACCCTTAAACCTGTTTGCCTCAGCTGACGGCCGTTTGGTGGATTGACACATCACCTTTTTGGTCAGCGAAAGTGGGTGTTTTTGGGTGATGTCCAATGTGAAATGTAACACCGGTTTGGAAAATGCTCGTGACACAACTGTCATTAGACACCGCCACTTGCAACCAGCAATAACTTGAGCTAAACATTTTCTTGGCGAGTTGCAACAAATCACCGAGACACCCGCACAAATATCAGAAACGCCTACCCTCCTGTTCACCAGCATGGAACTTGGCTGAGGGGTCCTGCGACACAATTTTCCTTTTACACGCCCTTTGATGGGTTCCATGTTAGTGAACATGAGGGTATAAAAGCCGGGTGAGGTCACAAACGAACGGCTCGCATGCCTTTGCCTCCTTCATTTTTTCTCCTCCTCCTCCTCCTCCTCCTCCTCCACTAACCACGAAGTTTGTTTTCCTTGGAGCTTTGTTTCGTAGCCTGCTTTCAGTTCGCAATGGCTATGACGCTATGAGGCTCAGGCACCGCGAGGCAGGTGAGGTACAGTCTTGTGGCTTTTGCTCCGTTTTTGCGAACACATTTGTGTCAAAAAGTCGGGGCGAATCTTTTTTTTTGCATTCCCGGCGACCTGGGGAAAGCTCCTTTGTAAACAGCCGGACGATGGCTTAAGCCTGCGGAGGGCTGTGTGGATTCGAGCCTGACGAAAGGCCCTGCAGCAGAGCGCGGGCATCTTCAACCCCAATGAGGAGGACACCATGCAGGAGTGGAGAGGGGGTTTGGGTGTGGGACCCGTGCCTAGGACATGGACCTCTATGGGACCCTGCAGGAGGGTAGCGCCTTGGATGTGGAGGTTTTGAGGAAACCACACCTAAGAGACATCATCGGGACACGACGAAATACTGCCCTGGAATGTCACCTTGGCCAAAAAGGGGCAAGCCCAAGCCCAAGCCAATGAAGCAAAGCTTTGTTAGATGTTGTATTTTCCGTATCTCCACATCATTCCCAGATAGCAACGGCGAAGTCGGCAAAGGTCTCTTCGGCACAGCGGGGGCGCTGCAGAACCACAGCCCCGAGCCCTTCTCTGCGGCGGGGTCCCGACGGTTTTGAAAGTCGCTGCGGAAATTTGGGAAAGGTGTAAAGAAGACAAAGCAGTTGCGTCTTTCCTTTCGGGAGTGCGAGCATGTTGGGGTTGACGGTCAGGCTTTTCATTTTTTAAGGGGGCAAGGGTTGTGTGAACGTGATAGTTCGCTCATGATTGGGTGGGGTTGGGCTGCGTTTGGGAGGCTGTTCAGGACTATTGGACAGCATTGTGGTGTTTGATCAACGGGCTTTTTGTGCAACGCAAGGGTGAGACACCGACTGGTTGCCTGTTCAGTGGCAACTTCCCGCAAAACCACTGGCCATTCTTTGGTATTTAAGCCATGACAATCCCAACAACATTCAGGCAGGTTGCAACCCTGTGGCCCAAACTGGCGTTCAAAAAAGAAGCCAACCGGAGGAAAGCAATACGCTTGTCGTAAGGGGTCTCAAGCACTTTCTGCGTTTTTTGCCTTCAGAACGGCAGTCGCTTGGTAATGCAGTCCTCGAGCAAACAAAGCTGGCTTCTGCAGAGCCAGTTGCAAAGAGCCATTTACACAGAGTGAACTTGCACAGAACAACTTGCCCGGAGCCATTCGCCCAGAGCGAACTTGCACAGAGCTACTTGCGCAGAGCAACTTGCGCAGAGCAACTTGTGCAGAGCCATCTGCATAGAGGCGAAGTAGATTGGGAATGGTTTGGGTATAGTCTTAGGACTATGTCTGGGCATGAATCGCGTGGCCCAGGGTGTGAATAGTCTGTGTAAAGAGTCTGGATAAAAGCTTGGGTGTGAACGTTGGCGTGGTAGAGAGCTAGCATAGGCTGGGCTGGGCTTTCGCAGCTTTGTCAGCTTTGGTTAATCTTCGCGCGGGAAGATTCTGAGCGCGCCTGGAAAAACTCGATAATAAGATTCTTCCTTTAAGGCGAGGGTGGGGCTGTTGTCATCGCAGGCGATTGCGACCTCTGCGAGGATCGGCGTGGTCAATCTCAAAAAGTTGAGGACGTCCCACGCGGCCGTTTGTGGGGATCGGCGTGGTCGATTTCAAGCAACTGGAGATTTTTGTGATTTTTGTGGTGGTCGGCAAAAGGCCGAGGACTTTGGACTTTTTGCGACTTGCTACCCCCGGATCAACTCCCTCCGCTTGTCGCTTTACTCTCGCTGTGGTCCCGTGCGAATGTTGCAGCTTTTGTTGCTTGCGAGCTGGTCCTTGGACCTTGTCTCGTGGTTTGCTCTTGTAATGGCGCGGTCGTGGGCTCGATCCCTGCCGGGCAATTGCGAAAATCGCAGGCTTAAAGTGCAAAAACAACACGCAAAGCGTTTTGCCGCAGCCCCAAACTTGGGGGCAGCAACTTGCGCAGGACATCTTGCGTAGATATCTTTGCAGACCTTCGCAGGGCAACTTGCACAGGGCGCGTGCGCAGAGCAACTTGCACATGGCCTGCCGCAAGGCCTGCCGCAAGGCGCTTGCCCAGGGCACTTGCGACGCGCAACTTGGACAAAATGCCTTGCGCAGAGAACAACTTGCATAAAGCAATTGCGCAGGCCGCAAGCTCACAGACAGTGACGCGACAACAGCTGATGGAAACTTCAAAGCTGCGCTTGCACAGATCCAAGCCTGCAAATTCTTTAGACCATCCATGTGGAACACTCTCATTTGTATGGGGGGCTTGTTATCATCGCGGTGGAAGGGGTAGGGGCTTGACAAAACATGTCGGCAACATGCTTTCGGGTCAAACGTCCTCTGGTTCGTTTTCAGTTTTGCCCCTGCTCAGAAGCGGGTCCCTTCCTGTCCCACGCGGGGGCGGTCTATGCCTTCCCGACGCTTTTCAGGTGGCCCGCTGTGAGACGGAGACCTGTACCATCTACGCTCTAGACAGCACGCCGGCCTGTTTTTTTAATTTGAGGTAATTTTGGCTAACGCGCTGTACCTCCCCGAAACGAGTCGCCAGGTGCGGGCATGCAACAGCTCCACCCCAAACTGCTGGCGACCGGGGACCCAAGAAACAGCGGGGGAGTTGCGCTTTGCTCTAGAAGGCCAGCAGGTCTGAAAAGGGGACGGTTCGTTGAAGTGGCACCCCTAAGTTTCTGGCTTTTCTTCTTTTTGGGAGCCATCCACGAAGGAAGTGACAGCCAAAACGGGAATTCGTCCAAAGAAAGTTCGAGGACCAGCAAAGCGAAAATGGGCACAGTATGAACGAATATCTGGACTTTGTTTTCTGGGAAGATTATTTTAGTTCTTAGCACACATTGTGTAGATGCTGTCATCGGGGGCAATCCACACAGGAGTGTAGGCGGTGCTATCTTTCCTCTCCATTGCCGGTGGAAGGGTGCAGAGATCTCCACGGTCCCACGACAAGAAAACCATGTTGGCGAAAGCCATCCCTTTGATATCCCCCAGAGGCAATTCTGGTTTGTTGCTTGGTGTCCTTTTTCAATCATCGCCCTCCCCTCCCCGTTCATTTTGTGCATGTAACTGGCCTTCGGCCGGTCTGAGGGTCTTGCGCGAGATGGTGGCTGAGGCCTGGATGTGGAGGCTGAAAAGGTCCAACTTAGGTTGATTCCAGTTTATGAATACACACCTACAACTTGACATGGAACCCAAAAAGGCTGCTTTGTAGACGAGATTCCTCTACAAATGAGGGCACGCCAATTTGCAGGAACAAGAGTTTGTTCCCTTTTCTGCAATACTGGGGCCAGTATACTAGTCACATTTTGATGGATTCCCAAAATTGTTTTTGGGGGGTGGATTCCTTCTAGCCATCAAATAGCAGGTATTTTTGAGTGTGTCACTTGGATGGAAAGTGAAGGACAGAGTCGCTGGGAGGGCCTTCCTCGGATTCCCTCTCATTCTCCGTGTTAGCTCAGCAATTGGAACCACACGCCTGGCCGATTCAAGGGGAGGGGGTGGGGGAAGGTGGAGGGGGAAGGTGGAGGGGGAAGGTGGAGGGGGAAGGTGGAGGGGGAAGGTGGGGGGGATCTAGTATGAGAGAGCCTGGATAACTTCAATGCGCATCATGTATCGGAGGATTCTTTGCACAATCCGACTTTTTCGGGGTGAGAGTTATCGGTCGAGTTCCTGCGGGGTTGGTCAACCTCGGGGACCTTCTCGCCAGGGGTCCCTGGAGCGGCTGCAACAGCTGCCGGCGCCCCCCAACGCCTGGCAGGAGTGGGCCTTTGGTTTCCTTAAAGTGGGGATCAGCCAGACGCGGACAGTCGGGAACCAAACCGAAAGTAGTCTTCCAAAGCCCCTGTCAGCTTCCATGATTGGAGGAAGGGCACTGGTTTCAATCTCCCGGTGCCACCTTCTTTTCCAAAGGGCCACATTTGGGCAAATTGATCAGCTCAGCTTCGAGGGTGAAGCGAGCAAGATAGAAGCCAGAACGGTTCCTTTTCGACAGATGCGTAACCGGCAACATATCGGAAGCCGAAAGGGGCCCGGTGAACCGGCTACTCTGGTGATATTTTAGATGTGGGATTTTCTAGTGGAGAAAACTCAAAGCTTGCAACGAGCTTCATCATGTGGTAGCTTGGGGTTGTGAGCTTGTGGGGTTTGCTTGCGGCATAACTTGAAGCCAACGGAAACGCAGTTGGAAATCCAACGAAACATGACCACCTCCTTTGGGAGGGTTGAAGATTCAGAGCTTGCCTCCAGTTTAAGCCATCAGTTTGTCAGTGCCCGACAGTTGGATTCAACCAGAGACGATGCAGCTTTAGCGCATTTGGTGGCTGGGGTTCAGCAGCTCGTGCTTGCGGGCATGTGAGTTTGCGTCTGCACATCGGCATGAACATGCACATGAGTGCACATGTGTGTGTATAGATTGATAAATGGATATGAGTAGCTTTGCTGCAAGGGGATCCTGGAGGAGACCAGCCCTCAATTGTTTATATTCATGTTGTTTTAGGGCCATAGCAAGGGGAGCTGTAGCAACCAAATAGTAACAGTAGTTTTGATAGCGATTATTATTTTGGGCTGCGGGCCAAGGGTCATGACCTTCCCATGGCTCACCATGCCGTGACTCAGCCTCCTGAAGGCTGACGCTGGCGTTATTGGGCTACCCGGCTACCCCTTTGTGCTCTAGGCAGTTGGACAGGATGTTGGCCAGCAAGCCCGGAGCTGCGGATGTGAAGTACATGGGAGATTAACGATTGGCAACAAAAGTGCGGCATGGGTAGATACGTGCATCTATGTCGATAAATCTGTGTATATATAAAGAAACAAGTATACACACACACATATATATATATATATATACATCTGCACACGCACACACGTTCGCACACACACACACAACATATATGTTTATATGTGCATCTATATATATATATATATATATTTATATATATATATAGATATGTACACACGCAAGTACGAACATGTCGATGGACCCGCAGAAGATCAACTCACTTGGTTGCGGTTTCGGAGGCGGAGATCAAAACGCCGAAGTGGAAGAAGAAGGCGTCTCCGCTGCTCGACGGGGAGGCAGGGCAGAGCAGTGAGGGCTGTTGAGAGGGCCCCCCTCCGGGGCCGAATGGGGTTCATTTTGCTGCTTCGACATATGCGACCAAGATTCACGTATTTGCCAAAAATTAACCAGTAGTCCTTGATCCTTATAGGCGGTTTTTGGGTGCGCCCTTGGAACAACCCATGGTTTTCCCAGTTCTGCCCCCAAGCCAAAGAGCGGCGACAGATTCCAAGGAGCCACCTCCTGTGCAAATCAACGCGCAACCCAACAAGGCATGGTTGCCGAAAGGGAGATTCCTGCAAAGCACGGATGCTTTTATTCATTCCTTCTGTTTATCTGCAGAAGTGTATGTATGTTCGAAACTAGTCCCCCATTCTGCACATGGTGGGTTTCCTTTGGGTTCCTATTAGACGCCATCCGCACGAGAAATCCTGAGGGGACGCCTACGAGCCAGAGCTGGAGGCGATGATGGTCACGCGCCAAGAGGTCGGGTCGGTATGTGAGCTTTTCGGACTTGAGAATCTGAGAGGGCAGTACATATGACATAGGTGTCCTGGGTAGGGTAGTTTTGTTAGAAATAGCTGGCGCTGGTTTAGATTGGTTTCGTTCCATTTACCAGGGCCATCAATTTTCCCAAAACGTCGGCAATGTTCCTACATTGCCAAACACCTCTTGACCCAGTTTTGGATTGTTTCCTCTTGGTGAGGTAGGTGGGCAGCTAGGGAGCCCTGGTTCAAAAATTGGGACCTCTTTAAACAATGTAAGCCTGCCAGTTTCAGCTGTCCCTGATGGCTTGGAGGAGGAAAAGGGGGAGAACCCACATCTCCTGCAAAAAAATGAGGGAGTCCAGGCCCATTTCCCAGACACCAAGCCGATGAGATTGCCAAATCCCGGAATTGTGAGGTTCCCCCGCCCCCCCCCCCCTTATTCCGGTGATCGAAAGCAACGAGGTAATGTGCAATCAGTCTGGCTTTCTCGTGGCCAATGTGAAGACACCCATTGCGTGGTGCTTTCCCACAAGAAAGCATTGTTTTAAGACGCTACCGAATGCTCTAACCAGGGGTTGAAAGGGGGTCGCCCCGACGGCTTTTTGTGGTTGCCTCGCGAAGTGGTAGTTACCCGTTTTGATGCTCTGCCGAGGTGGATCTACACATGTAGCATTCACGCCGTACCGTGGACAGAAATAGCAACCATTTCCATTAGGCACCATGTCAAGACCACCCTTCAGACCGCTCGCTCCATTGTTTTGTTGGAGGGCCAGCTGACTCTGAGTTGGTGAGCTGTACGCTTTCCGGCGCGCATGGTTTCTTTTGAGCGAACTGGGTTGCTCCGAGCCAATCAAATTCTAAGGGTAGAAATCTCTTCGCCGGCCAGGTTTTTTCCACGCGATCGGGTAGCAACGGTGAAGCTCGGAAAGGATTGAATCGGTTTCGGACTCGCCCAGGCAAAGGGTGGGGTGAAACTCCTTGTGTCCCATGGGTCGGGATCGGACATCGCCTCCAAATTTTCCAGCTTCACCCTGGGCACCCGGCGTTGAGCTTTTTGCTTGGGGAAGCCGGGCATCCGAGGCGCTATGCAGTGGCCTTCGACGAAGCTTGGGCCTTTCTTTTGATGAATGTCTACCTCTGATGAATAAACACCCCCCCCCCTCAAACAACCTCCCTCCCCAAATAGTTCTTGCAACTTGATTACGAATTGCTAAGTATTGCTCACAGATTTGTTGTGTTTCAATTGATTTAGTATTGCTGGAGCCTCCTTTTGAGATTGGATTCGGGGTTCCAATTGGTTTAGTATTGGTGGATTTGAGTTTTTAAATGATTTCGTATTGCTGGATCCTCCTTTTGAGACTTGACTTGAGGGATTTGAGTGTCCTATTGATTTAGTATTGCTGAGGGATTTGAGTTTCAACTGGTTTAGTATTGCTGGAGCCTCCTTTTGAGATTTGACTTGTTGGGATTTCAATTGATTTAGTATTGCTGGTGACACTTCTTTTCTTTTTTGTTTTGGGGGGGGGGGGCAACCATAAATTTTTATTTAGGGCCCCCCCCCCTAAATAATGTTTTTTCAACCCCCAAGTACTCCCCCCCTTGTAGGGTTGATTCGGGGCCACTTTTTAAACAGCGTATGTAAAGAATTTGCAGTTTGGGAGCTGGGATTTTGTTGGGATTGCAAAAGCTAGATGATTGAAATCATAGGGAGCAAGTTTCAAGAGAAATCTTTTAAAGATTGAGCCTTTTACTACCCCCAACCCCCAAGTACTACCTCCCTTGTAGGGTTGATTCGGGGCCACTTTTCAAACTAAAGAATTTGCAGTTTGGGAGCTAGTATTTTTTGTAGATCTGACATTTTAAGGCAGGCGAGGCAGATACTGACCAATCAGACAAGCCAGTGGAAGAGGTTGAGATGATGCTAGCGGGTGTGTGTGTGTGTGTGCGGAGTGACAGAATGCCCTGTCACCACCCTTTCGGTTTCTCAGCAGGGGGCCAGCGGCCATCAAGCAAACGCTGGCCAACGAAGCTATGCTTGATGGTGGATGCACGGATTGATCACCCGTGTGTACCTGCAACATTTGCGTGATTCTGAAAGTCTATTTGGCCCCTTGGTTGCGGCGCTGTGTGTGCTTCATGTTGGAACTGGTAACGTTTTCGACTAGAGTGAAACCAAGTGCAGTGCGAGCCGAACCCACCCACTCGAGACTCATCGGTTGTACTCGAGACTCATCAGTTGTACTCGAAAGATTAGCACTCTCCATCTGGAGTTTAAGTGTGTACACCCCATTCGTGGGGAATCCTCGGGTGTACCCATTGTGTGACCCCGGGCCGGCTCTGTCGGAAAATTTGACCTCAACGTGCTTATCATAGAACAGCGGAATTTCAGATTTAACCAGGAACGAGGTTTCACTAAAGGGAAGACAGCCGTCAGATCATAGAGACGTCTCACCACCGATGTTTGCGTTCACTTGCCATTTGTCGGATTCGCTGATACCTTGCCGTTGCATGGATTTGCATGTTGTCTGATACGTGTCTCTCAAGGTGGAAGCGTGAAGATTGAGAGTCGATTGTGTAACCATGTCTCGACGTGATGATCGTGATCGATCCAGGACTCGGCGCAGACGAGATCGGAGCCCTTCTCCTCAGGCTCGTAAAGCACACCGACGTGAACACAATGCCCACCACGTCTCGGAAGGCATGGATTGGAACAACCTGGTATCTTGGCAACACAATTCCGGCTACAACTCTGCCAGCAATTTCCCGATGATGCCCACCAATTTTCAATCGACTCACAGTCCCACGCAGCAATTCCAACACCCAGCGATCAACTACATGATGCCGATCCCTCCAGACCCTACGCCAACGAAGTTCATGCCACCCGTGATGCCACCACCGGTCACTACTCCGCAACCTACACCGCCACCAGGACCTCCTGCGGCTCTACCGGTTCGCCCTCAGAAAGCCTGGCTTACACCATCGCCTGACTGGACACCTGGAGATGGCATGTTTGATGTCAATCAGCTCTACAACTTTAGCCTGCCCATGACCGTTGCCAACACTCCGCATGGCAACCTGCGCGACATGTCAGGCATGGATATTCGTGACGTTCGCCTGGTTCAGGTTATTCATGGGGGCCTCACCAACTGGCTGCTCCGACCGTTCGCTCACGGCAGATTCGTGGAAGGCTTTCGCACTCGCACCGAGGCCTTACTTTGGAGTACCTGTTCCAAACTACTACGACGATCACAGTCGATCAACCTGCTCACCCTGGAAAAGGACCTTGCCAACTCGCTGGGTCTCAACATCGATGACTTCAATCAGCGGATCAAGGTTCATGACCATTTGGCCAACTTGGTACTTCAATTTCTTCAGCAACACCACGCCTCTCTCACACCTTCCACCCAGACAGATGACATGGTCAAGAAGTACAATGATCTAAATCGCGCGCATGAACTGCTCCAGGCTCAGTATTCAGCATCGCTGCGCGCTTCGACCTCTCCCACGATGGCAAGCCAGAAAGATGATGCAGAGTTGGTTACACCGCCACCGGTCAACCACACACCATCCTCGTCACCTGCCAGCTCCCTTCCTACAGCCAGCGCAGCGGCCCTTGATGGCAAGTCGTTTGATAGCGCGGTGCAACCCCGGATCATTCAGTCTCTTCACGGAGTGTCTTCACCGCCGTCCAAGCCGGCGGCGTCACAACTTGCTCACCATGCACAGCACGCCGGAAGAAGTTGTCAAGTACTACACATGGACCAGTGACCAGCCACGCCTTTATCTCAAGCAATCGCCCACAACCACGACTTTGACGTCACTGGTCAAGTGGGCCAATCACCCGTCCCGGCTCAACGGCAACAAGTCATTAGATTCCATGGCGACGCAGCTCCTTCAAGCGCGTCAACGCATGCCGAAAGGCGACGCACCTACTCTCGGGGCGATGGCGGCTTCGTGGGGACTGGAACCCGGCTATCTCACCAAGCTCACTGAGAAGGCATTGAGTCACCTCATCGTGACCGCTCGCCTACTCAGCGGATGAGCAAGCATCTCAACGACCTTCGTTCTCTTATGAGCCCGGAGCGGCAACCGTGTCACGGATGAGTCAAGGTTAAAACTCGTCCGTCATCTTTCTGCGTTGCATCAGTTTGATCTTGTACTTGGTTGTGCTTGCATTGCCTTGTGCGTGATTGTCTGTGCAGCTTGTATCCATGTCGCCGCCTTATGGTAGATTTTATTGGTTGCATTTTCACCATGTTGGATGAGCTTCGCCGCTGTGGAATCTATGATGATGTTGCACAATGGCAGTCTCTGGACAACTTTTTACACTCGTTGACCATGTTCTCTACGTGCTGGCAATACTGCTTCCCTGGACTACCACCACCGTCGATACCAGCTGATGAGTACGAATCAATCACACAACTACCGTGGTTGGGCCTCATTCTGGAAGTCTTAGTTGTGGTCCGGATTGCCCTTCAGATTCCGAATCACGCTATGTCACACTCTCAACACACTGTGGCCAACAGGTATGAGATTCATAGATGTCGGTGCACTGCCTATTTATTGATCAGTTTCTTACAACGTCTCATTTCCCAAGATCATGGCTACTTTCCGCCGTTCTTTGAAGTCCTTCACTTCTACAAGGCTTCTCTCTTGTGTGAAATCATGCACTCCACTTTTGCCGACACGCGACATCTTCGCTCATTGCGGGCACGATTTCCGGACCTCTATGACTTCATTCACGATCCAGGTCATCATCAACAACCGTGCGTCTACATCCGACTTTCCCCATGGCACACACCTTACTACGTTGGTGCGACTGATCAGGATGTTCTACGACGTGAACACTCACGCAGTCGCAAATTTCTACAACTACTTCGAAGACGTCATGCCTTCTTCGAACCCGCGCTTCACTACTGGAAGCGATCCAATACTTACTGGCTCTTCTGTGCTGTTCCGGTTGAGATCAAACTTCCCGTTTCCTCGGTTTGGGTCCAGGAAAGCAAATGGCAATACCTGCTACGCCCGCATTTGAATGCACCCTGGGTACACAGACTTCTGCGAAAGGTGGGCTTCCGGGAACACCTCGTTGATTTTCGACGTCACTCGTTGTCGTCTCCCACTTCCCTCGGCTTGCACAAACGCTTTCGACGACGACTACATCCGGATCTCCAACGGCAACTACGTCCCGACATGCTGGATGACATTCAGGCCCATTACTCTATTCTCTATCAGCTGGGATCCAATACAGGTGCATCGTTCCAAGCCATGCGTGACCTTCTGTCGGCAGCTTTCCCTCCTACTCAGCTTTACTACTTTCTGCGGCTCTCCGTCTTTGTCAACGAGCCCTTCCGCTCCAAGGCGCAGAAACTCCTCGCCCAGGTGTTACGCAAGCGACAGCTACAATCACCCACCACGTTGACACAACTACTCCTACCGCCTCTACATGTCCGGAATTGGAAAGCTCTACTTGGCACATGGTTACAAAGCTGGATTGCTTCTCATCGTGATTTGTTTCCTTCCCTTTTCCTTCCAAAGATCCGGGTGGTGGAAACTCGCAGTTCCACGTTGGGCGACAAGATCTACAACTACCGCACGTGGCAGCGCAGATGGACTCCTGAAACATCCTTTCCGTGTTGCTGTTTGGACATTGATGATCACCATATACACCGAGCACATGGACATGCTGTAATGGTTGATGAGTTCTCACGCATCAATGCGGACATTGACATGGAAATCATGGCCGCATCAATGAAGGATCAGTATTTCGGTGATGTCGACTTGTTACATCAACGTTTCACCACGCAACTTCGCAAACTTGCTCGTCGCTGGCATGTGCATGGTTCCAGTCTTCTTGTTGATCTGCAGCCGGTTTTGACTCAGTTGATGGACACTCATCGAGCTAACCTTCAAGATCGTGCTTATTGGTCATCGACATCGTTGCAGCGCACCGTGGCTTCTCTGTCATCGTGGGTTGTAATCCCCGCGGATCACTTCCCCTCCCGCGCACATGTGATTTGTCCGTCCCTGTTTGCCATACTGATGCGGAAGACCTTTTGCTCGGGAGATGTCTTTTCGCTTTGCCGTGAATCCGCAGCATCT